ATATAGAGCCACAGTCACAGAGTACTCAACTGGTTGGTTGAAACAAAATCTTGGTCTGTATTTGTACTTTCTGGACCTGAGCTTTCCACCTATGCAAATGTCCACCGTTCTTTGTGGTTTACTCTACTCTCATCTGCACATGTCCTAAAACATGCAGTCAGGTGAATCTCTAATTGCCTGTAGTGTGTGATCATGTGTGTGGATGTGTGCCCTGTGTTGGACTGACATCCCCTACAGGGTGTTTCCTGGCTTTTGCTCTGTGCATCCTGGAATAAAGCTCCACAGAGTGACCATGCACTGCAAAAAATGGATGGGTGGATTATATATAATATAGTGGCTTGATGCAGTTCCAGAAGAAATCCACTAGGTGGCACTGTATGTCTGTTATCGTGACTTACTGCCCTGTGCATCTCTGGTTTGGATTTTTGTCAGTAGGAAGCAGCACATCTTTCCTGACTGACAGTTTACCAGGCTTTCTTGTCCCTTGATTATTTTATCACAATTTGCCTTTAGTTAATTGTCTTTATTTAGTATTTCCCTTGTCCAGAACTTCCAGCCTGGCATTATGTCAGCGTGTGTGTGTCAGCCCATCTTCATCATCACACTCGCTCACACCCGGAGTGAGAACAGGCGAGGCATGGCGGGCATTTCCAAATCGTAAATCAGATGTTTTATGGCCATGTTATCTTCTGGAACGTTCCCCCACTTCTTTACTGGCTAAAGCAGGGATGGGCAATCTTATCCGCAAAGGGCCGGTATGTATGCAGGTTTTTGGGATAACCTGTAGGTCAGCTGTTCAAACCCAGGTGCGAGGATTCTTCAGCCAATCAGTCCTCTAATTAGTGACCTAATTAGGGAGTTGCAGCGAAAACCTGCATGCACACCGGCCCTTTGCGGATAAGATTGCCCACCCCTGGGCTAAAGGATACTTTTAGCCTCTACCATCCTTTTTAGAGTTGAGGTGCAATGGAAAATGGCAACATGATTCTTGTTCTGCGACCTAAAATCATGATCGTCCATGACCATCCTCTTTGTCAGCATGCACCCCTTCTGCCCTCCTCCCCAGCTGGTCTCCGTTCCTCCTCTGCCCCCTCAGGCCTGTGTTGCCGCCTCCTCCCCCAGTCCCACGCTTGTTGATCTCCGTCTTTCTGAGATCATCATCCTTCCCACCCGATGGACCCCCTGTCTTTGATCTTTCTTCAGTCTTCCTAGTCAGCTCGGGCTGCTTTCTTCCAGATGTTTCCATGAGCTCCAGAGATCGGTGCTTTCAAAGGTAGCATTAGAAGGTGCCCTGCTTGACAGGTTTCAGCTTCTGCAGGCTTGGATGGGCTCCAAGGCCAACAGACACTCTGAAGGATCTTCCTCGTACTCCAGCTGTGTGCTGAGCACCTTCCACTGCAACGTGACAGGGTGTTGAAAACATAGGTGATGTCTTTGAGAGGTCTTCACCTGACTGGGAGATTGGGGAGTGACTCTAGAAGAGGCTGCTGCAGCGAACGTTTGGTTGGGGTTCAACTTAAGTGTGTCACAGTTGACTAAGGACTAGAAGTGGTACTTGCTCTGGTCCGGTCCGGTCCGCCACCCTGGGCTTCTACTCCTTCACCAACCCAGAAAAACAAAATGTAGAACTGAAACTAAGGTAAGTAGTTTGTTAGAGCAGCCATGTCTTTTGTGATGACATCAACATGTTATCTGCTTCACATATGGGACAGGAACCGGGGCGGGGGAGCAAATCACATAATACACATAAAGCTCAGTGTATGGCGTATGCGGGCTATAACTAGTGTTGTAGTCAAGACCGCCTAAACCGAGACCAAGACATTGCCAAGACTGGAGGGTATCAAGACCAAGACACTGCCGAGACTTGAGGGTACCAAGACCAAGTCCAAGTCCAAGACCAAGACCAAAACACACTAAGGCGAGACCAAGACCAAGACCAAGACCGAAAACAGACTAGGGCTAGAATCGACATCACATTACTCAGATCAACTGTAGAGAAAAAAGGCATTGCTGTAAAGTGTCATTACTCGTTAAATCAAATTCATGTTATCTTTTCAATTATATTGTCCATATGTCTCTCATTTAAAATCTCCCAGATTTGTCATAGTTACGAGGCCTGATGGAAAATAATATTCTCAGCAATTCTCTCCTATAACCATTTTATCAGACCTCGTCAAGGGAAAGAGATGGGATGTACCAGAAAGATGTTCATATTAAGTCTCATATACCAGGGACAGAGGCCTCGGGTAAGCCGGGTAAGCCTCGTGAGACATTGAGGGGGAGAGGGGGTCGCGAGACGCTTTCCAAGAAATCAAATAATTTTTTAAAAACTATTAGAAATAACATTTTATCAACATTTTAACATTTTTTATTAACATTTTATCCATAACTAACAAAAGATAAAAACTAGTAGTTAATAGTTACATTTAAAAAAAAACATGCAAATTAAAAAGCCATCAGCCTTTCAAATTTCTTTCCGTTTGATCGCGACCCCTGAGGTGATTACGACAGATTAACGACACATCAATAACATCAGTTGCAGCAGAATTTACAGCACCATGTTAAACATGACGCGACTGAACGTGGAGGATGATCTCCGAGTCGCGGTCTCCAAAATTAACCCAAGAATGGACTTGCTCTGCTCCAAGCATTGTGCCCAGCCATCTCATTAGGTGAGGTGTTTTGTTGAAATGAAACGAATGAGTAAATAACAATTAAAAAAAAAGTTATATGGTTGTTAGAGCGTTGTGTTCTTTTGTGTTGTCATGCTCATGTTTGGATAGGCCTATTGGCACATGTGCACCGTTGCGCGCAACATTTGTATATTTTAACCACTTCCGAGGATAGTGGGGGTCACGAGTCACTGGCACGGTTATTTTTGGGGTTGTGAGCTGAAAAGTTTGGGAACCCCTGCGGTAAGCTATGAATACGGCTATGTAATGATCCTTTGCTTTGAATTGAAGAGAATGAGCCTCCAGATTGACTTGCACCTCTAAGACCGTGCTTTCTAATGAATGTAAAATACCTAATTTATTTGAATTACTGTATAACTATGCTATAGACTTCACTATGATGCGATGTGTATAATGTGTGTGGACTGTGAAACATTGGCAGTGTCCGTATATGTATAAATGTATAAGATGTAACATTTTTAAAATAGATGCATCTGACTGGTTGCATTTGAATTGAGGCACATAATAAATAATGATACTGTTCTGTGAGGATATGCTGTTTTCTCTTTTTTTCCCCATCCCATCGAGACCGCTATGTCCGAGACCAAGACAAGACCGAGACCAAATAGAGTCGCGACCAAGACAAGACCAAGACCAAATAGAGTCGAGACCATGACAAGACCGAGACCACAGAAAATTGGTCTTGAGACCGGTCTTGAGACCAAGACCAGTCTCGAGAACTACAGCACTAGCTATAACAACAAACTTTATTTCTGTCCAGCAAAAGTGGGTCAAATGACAAATATTAAAGAGTGACACCATTGTATCCCAGGCGGCAAGACAGCGGTAGGACTGCCAGCTGTCAGTACACATGCCAGGATGAGCAGATGTCCTGCAAAGCTCCTGCTACCTTTTGTAAGACCTTTTGAGTGAGATGTTTAAGGATAACAATTAGAGGAGATCTGCTGCTTTCCATCTGCCTCTTGATTCTCTAAGACTCTTTGTTTCCCCACGTCAGGGTCCCATCGGTACCACAGTCTTTGTCCTTCAAATTCCTTGCTTGACGGCTTTGCAGTCTTACAGCATGAGGCACGGGGAGAGCACCCCCACCCGCACCCCCCTGGGCCTCCATCATCAGCTGCTACATCATGTACTTCCCCCCTTTGCATCCTCTCCAGCTTTCTCAGTTAACCCAGCTAACTTAAGCTAGAAGTCATGACCGTCCAATAGGAATGCTCCTTACATAAACTCTTTTTGGACTATCATGACTTCTAGCTTAAGTAAACCACTGAATGCTGATTTGTGGAACACCCCCCCCCCCCGGCCACAGCAGAACGTCTGCTTGGTCTACAGGAGCTCGTCCATGGAGTGAGGTTTTAGAATGTCTGAGGACTCCAGTTTGACTGGCCTGTAGCCAAAAGCGTAGCCGTGAGATGAGGACTGAGAATTCCGAGTCGCAAGACGTCAGAGACACGTGACCTACGGCCGTTTCCTCTGGATGGCAGCGAGATTTAATAGACCAGCTCTCCTGAAATGGCATGGTGAGTGGGGGGGCTGCCAGGGCGCCAGTGCCATGCCCTGCCTACATGGGCCCCCAGAGGCCTGGCTGTGCTTTCCTTGGGCGGTGCCACGCAGCGCTCTGACTTGTCGGGAAAATATGCGGCGTCGGCCTACAGTAAAAACACCTTTTCACCGTCGCTGCGTCAGAGTATGATCCTGCCCGCGAGCCACTTAGTCCTTGCTGGGGTGGGAGAATGGCCTCCCTCACCTGCGTGCCCCGCCACGCCCGCTCCACGGCTTACCTGCTGGGAGGGGGGCACACCTTAAGCTCGCTGGGACTGACAGACCGCCCCGGACGCACACGGGCCCCCGGGCACGTCCGCACGCTCTTTCGGATTCCTGCCTTGCGTGTGAGTGGCGCCAGGAAGCCTGTAATTAGTCTGTGTGTGTTTTTTGTTACCTAGATGTCATGCTTGCTGTCACGCGGAGGAATCTTCCATTGGAAGTGTGCATGAGGGTTGTGTGTGTGTGTGTGTGTGTGTGTGTGTGTGTGTGTGTAAACCAGGCAGAGTTCCGGTGGCCCTGGAAGTGAGTGAGCGGCCCCTGTAGCCGCAAACATGAGGCCAGGATGAGGGTGACAGGAGGGAGGGAGTGGATGTCATTACATACCACACCGACTGCGCACACACACACACACACACACACACACACACACACACACACAGAACCAGGTCTGCCCATGAGGCTGGCAGCAGCACAATCCGATCTCCGTAATCTTCTGTGATTTCATGACAGCAGAGTTAAAAACATGAGCGTACACATTCACAATCATCAGCTCTTCCTATGCGCCGTTCTCTGTCCGGTGGATCGTGGATTGCAGACTATTTTTAGAGTCTGATTGTTATACCCTAATATAAGGAAAATAAGAGTGGGGGGGCTGTGTTTCTGTCTACTCTGGATACCACTATACATTGTCTGGTGTAAGAGATAACTTATCATTTTGGATGGAATTTCCCATCCAGTAAATCATTATTTTTGCAGGAGATCATCTCTGAGGCCAAACTCAACAAAGTTTCCCCTTTGTGATACACCTACAAGGTATAAATGATAAACAGCACTCGTGAAATCATTTCACTGTACCGATTCTGTCTGATGTCATTTCTCAGAAACCCAATCAGCATTAGCAGCAGGATCTTACAAACAGCATGGTGTTCCTGTCAGCTGAGGCCTTTCGCCACTGCGGCTGGGGTCACCTGACCTGTCTGCTGCCCCCGTCCGCGAATCTGCTGGCTGAGCTTCACACACAGGCTGCATCCCGCTGTGCCCCTCCCTGGACAGTCTGCGAGCGGCATGGATGCCCACAGCCACCGTCTTCCCCGCGGTGCCCATCTCTCAACAATGCGGCCATTGACACACGATCCTCCGTGAAACCGATACGGTCGGAAATTACCCAGAATGCCAAACCTTGGGAAGGATATTTCAAAATAGGTTTTCTTTATTCAAAATGATAGAAAAAATACACAAATAAATGCATGTAAATATATATATATATATTTCTTCTTATCCTGTGGCTTCATAAATACAATATATAGCAGTACATAGCAGAACCTTAATTATGATGAGAAGAGCAAGGAATCTAAAAATAATCCCAATGGCTGGCGAGTGACAGTCCGTCTGCTGATTGGCTATCCGAGGGGAATCCCCGAACGTGACCCCACACATGGCTGTCTGCCTTACAGTGGGAATCTTTGATACATGGAACTTGTGACAGTCCTGCTCAGAGACTCCTAATGAAGCCCTTCACTCGTCCATTTTCTCCTGTAGTTTCCTTTACAAAAGTCCGGGGGGGGGGGGGTTATGTTTATTTTTTTCAGCTTTTTGTAGACGGCAGCCTGGGACCATGATTACTGCAGATCTCCTCCAGGGGGCGCAGCAGGCTGTCCTCTCGGGGGCGGTACTGCTGCACATAGCTGTCCTCCTCCAGCAGGATGCGGTTCAGCGTGCGCTCGTAATTTACGTGGCGGCGGGCCATCAGCACGTACTGCCGGCCCTCCTCCATGAGGGGGCAGTCACACGTGTTGGGGACCCACAGGAACTCGCGGCGCTCCAGCCGGAAGCGGTTGCGGTAGGTGTGGATGACGTGCACGTCATAGCGGGTCTCCTCGCCCAGGTAGAGCTTCCCCAGCACCTTGGCTCGAAAAACTGACAGAGATACACCTTACCCTCCACCCTGTTAGGTAGCCCCCCCCCCCGCCAGAACGCGTCACAGGATGCACTCACCAAAGTCCTTCTGGCAATACTGCCTCTGCCGTTCTCCCCGGCCTCTAACCTTCCTGCACCTCCTGCAGCGCCCTGTGCAGAGCGAACAAGACCGCAGAACCCAGCATTAGCGTGTGATTAACCTCAAATGGCAGCAATGACCCCAGCATGCGCTGGAGCCTGAAGACAATCTGTGGAGAACCACACCGGCCAGTAGGTGGCGTGTTGGTCAGGGGTACAGATTGCAGCCCACAGCCCAAAGGTAGAAGCTCTTCTGTGTTCTCTGCCTTAGTTGTAATAAATTGGTTTAATTAAGCTATAAATTTGTACAACTAAGTTACTTGGGGGGCGGGGGGAGCTCACCAGACTGGGGACCCTGAGGAAGCAGGTTCCTGTGGCTCTCATCCCTCTCCAGTCGGGGCAGTGGCTGCTGTTGTGGTCGCTGTGCAGGCCAGCCTCCTGTGGGGGGGGTACACACCCTGTGAGGGAATGGTGCTACCTAGCAACCAGATCACGTAAAATCCACAGCCCTACATTATGTCAGACAGGATTATAATCATAGAACAATAGGCCGGGATTTTACAATAACGATGCCAACCAAGTACAGCGCAGCTTCCATCTGAATGCCTGTGGAGGTGCATGGATTGGGGGCCTGGAGGGGTCTGGGACTGAGGCCCTTTTCTGAAAAGCCTCACATACACTATGCTTCCTGGCCACAAATGACGTGCTGCACGAAACTGGCCAATAACCATCAGCCTTACTTTAGTAAATAGGGGAAATCCACTGGAACCTGAGAATTCAATAAACTGTTTCCTCGTTTATCGTGGCAGCAACCCTACACCATACCGGGAGGACAGATTCTGAAAGCGCGTCTGACCCCAGAAAGGGCGTGTGGTGACAGGCAGAGGCCGCACGGTGGTCGTCATGGAGACCGGCGGGAAGGTGGCGGCGTGGTACGGCTGACGCAGCGGGCCCCGCTGTCCGTGGTAGAGCGTGTAGCTGTCGCGGGGGAGCCAGTATTCGTACTCTATCCCAGGATTGGTATCTGTGGACAGCAACTGGCCAGGAGGTGGGAGGAGACTCAGGCAGGCTGTCAGAAAGCTCTGACGACGGTGACACCGCTACACGGCGCGAGCCACACCTCACCATGACGTGCAGGTCCTCTCGGGTCGGCCCTGGCGCCTCGAAACTCTCCCAGGTGTCTGTAGAGCGACGGTACAGCACCTTGGTCCCCGCGATGCTGTACTCCCCGGGGATGCTGATCTTCCAGTCTCCGTTGATGATGAACTGTGAGCGTCCGTTCTGCAGGGCTGCGAGACAGAGGGCCGGGGAAGTCGCACATCAGTCGGCCAGCCTCGGTGACAGTGACACTTAAAATAGATGTGACAGACACTGGATTCCTCGCATCGGTGCTGAGAAACGTCACACGGCATGGGGATCGAAGGTGGCCCGGCGAGGCGGTGGAAGGTTCGACAGAGACGCGGCTCACCGAGATAATTCTTGCTGTTATCGGTGACCCGGATGTGAGTGGCACCGGCTGGGATCATGGCCACCTCGTTGTATCCGAACAGACCTGCAGACGGAGACCGAGTAAGATGCCATGTGACCCAATTTTAAGGTTACACTTAACAATCAATGTTTTAGCCAAAATATATCCAATACTGCTGGAGAATGAGTGTGAAAGGGCTCGATTTGGTGCCCTGCTGCAGTCATTCTGGATGCCCGGTTATCGAGCCACTCGTAGCAGTGCCGTCCTGACGGCCCGATTACCGGTTATCACGTGTTGTGACCATCAGCAGCAGCACCGCTGTTTTCTAATCTAGTGGGAAATGGTATTTTCCAAATAATGGGGGCGAGGAATGAGGCAGCTGTGTTCTGCAGTGTGAGATGCCAGAGAAGTTTGTGCGTGTTGGGGGGGGGGGGGGCAGCGTGTATCCTGTGATGAACTCTGAGGCAGTGTCCTTCAGGACTGGGCGTTGAGGGCCTCAGCAGTAAACAAGGCTCTCGGGGGGCCCTGACCTATTCGCCAGACTGGAAGCCATTACTCAACACCACCTTGTTTACATTACTGTTATGTCTTGAAGCTGAAGTCCTGCATTCAGTCGGATGTTGCCTGTAATCCTCATACATAGCCAGGAATTTTATTGGGCTGTTCTGCAGCATTTTATAAATGTTTTTGACAAGAAGATAGAAAATGCACACTGACACTGGGGTCCAGAGGATTGCTTGTGTATGGTTAGTACTACATGCATATTTAGACATACTTACAACTTTTTGCATATGCTTTTTATCTGAAATGGATTAAGTATTCATGAAATGTGTGCAGACGGAGTATGATTATGGCTCAGACATATGAAATTAGTACGACCACCCAGTTGTGGTTATGGGGTCGCGGGTGGAAGCGCGTTAAGCATAGTACAGCCCTCCTCCACTCCTCTGCTGGGTACATGGCAGTGATTAAAGCGGGATCCTCCCAGCGCAGGCCTCGTCCCCGGTGTGGTGACACCCACCCGCCCCCTGCTGGCCGCTCCGATACACGCTGCGGTGGCGAAGGCAGGTGCTGTTCTGGCCCCCACAAACCATGCAGGCGTCCTCCCGCTGTGACGAGCCCAGGATCAGGTCGCAGCCCGGCCTCTGCGGGAAACGTGAAAGATGGGGGAGGAAAAGGCCTGTGCGACTGTGCGAGACCACCGACCCCCCCAAGACAGAATCACATCCTGAGAAATACTCAGGCGTCTGGACTCCATCAGCGACAGGTTTCCCCACTGTGGCTCAAACCCCCAAAATACCCCACCCCCAAATACGACACCCCCACTGCACCTCCCTGACCTCGCGGATCATACCTCCATAAACATCAGATTCTTCAGATCAACACAGGCCCTTGTCTAAGGATATCTTAACTAGAAGTAATTTATGACCAGAAACCCAACACGATGCGAGATTTTATATGATAGTACAAATTACTCAGATACTCCTGGTCCAGGAGGACAGTTTATTAAAAAATCTTCTCCCACTGCAGCTGTTTCTTACTGCAGGCTTAATCTCAGATAAGGTGTTTTTAATATTAGAGGGCCGATGATCTGTGTGGATGAAAACGAAAAGATGCAGAGAGGCAGTGAGCTTCAGATTAGGCCGGTCTTTTAGCGATTCGCCGTGTGACCTCACGCCAAAGACAGGGACCGGCGGTACTCACGAGGCAGCGGCCGTTGACGCAGACCACCCCGGGCTCCGTGTCGCACGACGTCCCGTCCAGCACGCGGCCAAAGTTATAGTAGAAGTTCTGGCCCAGAGCCAGGCAGCTGAGCTCGCAGGGATTGGAGCCTTGGAGAGAGGGAACGGCAGAGAACACTTGGACACTTAGAATTAGGGTTATCATATCATATCATATCAATATTACATCACGCATATGCAATAATCACCAGGGCTTCAGATGACAGACGAAGCATTTGGCCGGACGCCAGCTTTTCGGTGCTAAACGGACATTTATTTACGCCCACAATTTGTGAAGCAGTTTAGTAGTATGGCTTAAATACTAATGAGACGTTGTATGATGCCCAGAAGTCATTATTAGTATAAATACGGCATATCTTTATGTTTAATAAATGTGTCAGACTTTGAACTGCAAAATGTACCACCACACCACCGACGTCTTTTTACGCTGTTTATCCACAAGATCTCCTCTTTTAAAAGATGTCGCGGCTGCTCTTCTTCATCGGGTATACCAAACCGTAGTATACCAAACCGTAGATACCAAACCGTAGATACCAAAACAATATTATGTGGTGTGCTTCACTACTTGGATTTAAGAAACAAAGTTTATTCCAATTATTAACTTTTGGGTATCACAAAACGCATCTCATTAATATTTAAGCCATACTACTAATCTTCTTACCAAATTGTGGGCATAAATAAATGTCCATATAGCAACGAAAAGCTGGCGTCCGGCCAAACGCTTCGTCTGTCACCTGAAGCCCTGGTGATTATTGCATATGCGTGATGTAATATCGATACATCACCCAGCCCACAACTCAGGGGGAAGAGGAATCAGCTTTGGATGCACAGAGACCCAGACCCCTCCCAGGGCCCAGGGGGGTGCTGACCTCCATGAAAGGTGGTCCACTTATAGCTGTTCCCTGCCACCAGCGGTCTGTCGTTGAAAGCGGCGCACTGCAGCTCCCGGAACTCCAGAGACCCTGCGGGACACTCCTGTGCAGCGGCGACGCGTGATTCAGCCGGGGGGGGGGGGAACACAGATACGCACACACAACCTGCCACAACCCGCTCTGGACACGGCGTAAGCTCTGAGCTATGCTGTTATCACACGATCTGGGGTATTTAACGCTCTCGGTGGTATCTCACAAGCGGGGGTGTGAGGTCTACGTGTGGACAAGATCTTTCATCAGTCTGCCTGTATGAGACGGTGTTTGAGAGAGCAGAGCAAGACCAAAGTCAATACAAGTGGTAGACTCCGGAAAAAGTCCATAAAATGCTTACATTGGAGCTGATTCAACATGTGCCTTCTATAGGAATCTGGAAATGTGGGTCAGCTTTGGGGAACTTCACGTCCTAAAGCATAGCTAAAAATAGGTGCGTGTCTTAAATACACATTGTTATCAGCTCTTAGGAGCACTTAAGATACCTTCTTTATACATTTACTTTGACACAAAACATCTCGGTGGGGACTGTAGGCCTCAAAGTAGCCGAGGCTCCTGCACTTGCTCTCCCAAATGGTTCAGACCACCTGGATCATACTGCCAACTCCGACCTCAGTCTTGGAGGTATTTCACATTGTGTTTACTGCACAGAAGACCCCTTACCGGAGTGTTGCAGATCTTGTACTGCCTGGTATCACCCGGACATGGTCCCGCAATTAGGTTTCTGGGTCAGATCGACAGGAAATAAAGTTACACAAGTCTACAGCCTATGGTCATAAACAAAAATACATCACAGGACCCAACACAGGATGAAGTAACCAGGGGCAGCGCGCCACGGCGTTGGGCAATTCCGAGCAGCCGGCATGAAAGCCACTCGCGGTGTTTATAAAAGCTTCACTGCGCCCCCAAGATAAGACTGTCCCACAGGCTTGGCAGCGGGAGTTGATGAGTTTTTCAAGAGCTCTGAAGATAAATCAGGCCAAGCGTACGTGTCTGGGACGGCATCTGAACACCACTGACCCAGACCCTCCTCGTATATAAAAACACACCAGTTTGCTCCACTTTGTTTGGTCAGACTACCATTCGTCGCTGTTTCAATCTGATTAAACTAACCTAGTAATCTTTGAGCCCATAATCAGCTGCGGATGTGTAATATAACTTGGACATTGACCACCGGGGGGGGTGGGTAGCCACAGCCTTTGAAAAATACCCAGGCTGTCAGCTGAAAATAATAATAATAATAAAGCTTCAAAATGACTGTTGCTTGATGGGATTAACTAAATCATTTTCTAGTGCATTAAGCCAGTGTTTCCCAAACTGGTCCTTGGCGGCCCACAGACAGTCAACATTTTTGCTGCGACATAGGGGACTGGGAAGGAGCAAAAACGTGGACCCTCTGTGGTCCCCTGAGGACCGGATCGGGAAATGCTGCTCTAAGCGATTTCTGCCTTTTTTGTGTCGGATCGCCATTAGCCGTTTAGCGGAGCGCTAACCTGGTGATGCAGACCCGCGTCCGCATGGAGGCCCCTCCCCCGCAGGTGCGCGAGCACGTGGACCAGCCTCCCCAGGAGCCCCAGTCATTCTCGTAGGGCAGCTGACGGCGTGTGCGGACTGGCTGCCCCAGAGCGCCCCCTGCAGACACCCATGAGGACTACAATGGGAGGACAGAGTCAGGGTTCAGAGTTTCAGACAAGCTGCATAGTGACAAGAGGAGGGCAAAAATAATCAGTTAGCACTTTAGAGTGGGGTGGGGGCAGTTTCTGGGATACTATTTCCCCTCATCCTTGCTCCAGTCCGTACGGATAACAGTGCTGTGCCAGCAGCCCATTCCTCACATTTCACCCCCACGGAGTCAGTTTCCCTCCCCAGGACAAAAGCATTTGGCGAACGCGCGCCGGACACTGAGCCCGGAAAGAACCGCTTCGGCCAGTGAGCTGCCTCAAGGCCTTCTGGGAAGAGCCCCGCTTACTGCTCCAAACACAACCTGCAGCTGCTTCTGTGTGCCAGTCTAATTCTGAGGTGAGATAAATATGAAACTCTACACCCATGAGCACAAGCGTGGCCTTTGTGGGGCTCAATCTCAACATCTCCCTCTTCTTCCGTTCAGGAGGCCTGGAGCCCCCCCTCCCTTCTTCAGGGGTTTACAAACAATCACCCACAAACCTGGCCACAGCCAAAAAGCTTGAATCACATTCCCTCGTGCCGCTTCCTGTTAAAACCAGCAGATGTTATCTGTCAGTGGCAGCATCTATGAACCATGTATCGGAATGAATGAATGAACAAATGAATGAATAAACATTTACATTTACATAGCGCTTCTCAAGACACCCAAAGCACTTTACAGAACCGGCAGATCACATATGGATCTACGGATGCAGGTAAAGTATATATACTACTCCAAATACATACCGGACAGCATCTTTTTTTTTTTTTTTAAGTTTCTTCTGGACTGGCAAAGACACAGAGCTGCTGGTGGGTTTGTGTCTGCCCAACCTCAGCGCCAAAAACCGCCCCCCGCCAATCAGCTTCGGGGAAATTCGTAGTCGTGCCGGTTCTTCAAGGCCCAACAAGGACACGAGCGTGATTACAGCCAGCAGCCTCCCATACCGCTCTGACCCCAAAGCCACCCTCATTACTGCCACAGAGGCACGAATTAGTGTGAATTACAACTGCAGAAGGTCAATGAGCCGGGACCGCATGAGTCTGCGTTTCTGTGCTTTTAAAGGTGGCACAGGGGCTAATTCAAAGTGACAGCGAGAGTCACTGATGGACACGGCAGGACTCAAAGGTCAACCAAAGAGCCGTCCCTGGGATGGGGAGGGAGGCCTGGGAGATGGCGGGAACGCAGCAGTAAATCCCACATTTTAGTTGCCGCTCTCTGTGGGGGTTCTGGGACCTGGGCTTTTGACGGTGAGGCGGGAATCTGAGATTGGTGGGGGTCTTAGCGGCTGACGTCACCTGCAAACTATTTGTGGAGAGTGGAACCCAAAGGAAAAGCCAAGGCAATAAAAAACGTGGCCCTTTAGTTTGGGGGGGGGGGGGGGGGGGGGGGTATGATCCACCCTTTTTCCCCCAAATGCCACAGGATCCCTCCTGGCTAAAGCTTTGCTGCTTGACAGCGCCACAAGCAGAGAGCAAAGACAGTAACACAATAGGAGGGATGAAAGACAATCGTGCCCTTTGAGACCATGTTTCTAGAAGTCTCTGCACAGCTTTCAAAAGCGTGCTCTCCTTTGACTTCACTGAAACCTGATTCGACGTATTTGTTGTTGTTACCAGGAACTATTTGCAGACTTTTCTTCTACGTCAATCATGCTAAGTAAGAACGGTACCTTCTGCCAGAACCACGTGCCTACAAAAGCATGCAACCAACTCACTATACCCCATCAATACATTTCCCAGTGTTGCTTTCAAAGCATATGGGCTCGAGGCTTCCAAAATTTAATTGTCTAAAAGTTGGTCTTGGCAGAAAAACCACACGATTCTCCTTTCAGGAACTTGGTATGACACAGGAAAGCAACCCCAGACCGGAGTAGTGTTATGGGAGGCGTAGATGTTCCGGATGCATCTAGAAGCTCGCGCCACGCGTCCAGGCAAAGACGGCGATCTTACACGCGGAGACGTCAGACAGAGCGGAGGGAGCAGCAGAGCGACGACGGCCAGGGCCAGGCGGGGGGGCGGTCTCCTAGGAACAGAAAATAAACAGCGTTACTCAGGCATAGCCTCGCCCCTCTCAGGTTTAATTAGGGGGGCAGAGAAGCAGGATGGACACCCGAAGCCCTTTTAGCGTAGGAGCCCCAGCCAAGGGGTCAGAGAGCAGCCCTGCCGTGCAGCGCATGGCTGCCTCAGTGAGCTGAGGGCAGAAACTCCCCTTATCCTGTGGAAATCAATCGCTTCCGCCCCCTCAAGGAAGGGCTGTTGGTGCTTAGTGGGGCCCCAAGTACTCAACGACTTCACTTGGGCTCAAGCTGGTGCATCATAAAGTCTGGATCTCCAGCCCGGGCGTCTACCACACAAACAGCGTTTAGTCTTCCAGTGTCATTAGTTTTTTTATAAACCACTGTTTGAAATCAGGAACGATATACGAGGAATCAGGAATTAAATGTTATTTACAGATATTAGTTTTGGGTTTGATTCTTTATCGTGACACGTTTAATAGCAACCCAAACATTAGAGTTTGGGGTAATAACAGATTTGGGGCATATGGGTGATGTGGGGCGTGTCTGAGGAACAGCAGCTCCTACAGATGGCAGTTCCCCCAGGCGTACGGAGCACGAAAACCCGGGTGAAGCAGGAAGGGGTCACGGCTTTCCCACGTAAAAACCCATCGCAGGACTGTGAGTCAGCAACAGTTCAAGAACTTAATTTGAAAAATGCTCGGGTTCCTGGAAATCTTCTAAGGTTCCTGGCATTTTGTTTTTGTTTATTGCGTATCAAAGTTAAAGCCATAACGGTCTATTTACTGTTGACTTACTGAAGGATGCTCATTCCCTCCAGCACATTTAAAGAATGACACGGAAACATGAGTTACCTACATGTAAAAAAGCCCAGGTAGAACCACAGCCCCGGTGTACATATTTAAAAACAGTCCAGGTAGAACCACAGGTTTGATTTTTTTTCAGAAGCTTCTGGCTGACCTGCGGCCCAGGCAGAACCACGGCTGAGCAGATTACATTGGCCCAAACCCAGGCTGAGAACACGATGAGCAGGCCCCATGCAGAGTGACGGAGGTGGTGCCGGATGGGCTCTCTCATCAATGCCAGGCCCTGGTTGGCATCCGTAACACTCAGCCATTTACACAGCGGGCCCTCCTTCAATCATTATTCTTGTAAAATTACTCTAAGTAATAAAACCTTGTTAATGACTGTTCCAGTTCAAGGGCTTTGGATAAACTTTTTTTTTTTTTTTTTTTAAAAAGTAGGAATAAAAGGGTCGAAAAAAATGGTTTACTAAAAAGCTTTGCCAGTATTAAACCCCGTATGTAAGAGCGGTCAGAGGCTGTACAGATTACCAGCTTAGGCAGAAATACAGCAGACTGCACCCAAACACAGCTGTCACTACACTTCAGTGACTAAAGTAACCATAATGAATGGAGCTGCCTCCACTGCCAAGGGCCCCGTTCACGTTCAGAGGGCCCATTACCCTGATCCGGTCCCAGGGAACCAGAGCGCTAGACACAGTACATCCTGGACAGAAGGCCACTCCAAGGCACTGGCTCACCCGACTGGGATGCCTTCGAACTGGCAGGAAACTCGGGCCAACAGCCCCCCCCCCATGTACCTGCATATTCAAAATGAATTTAATTATACCTTCACTTTAAACAGTGATTTCTTGAGAGAGAAAAAAAGGGGCCCAACTGAATGGGGGGGATTTACAAGTTCTCTTTTTTTTTTGACACAAATGGCCAATCGAATTTCTTTAAAGAAATTTCCCATGGGACTTTGGGGCTGCTCTAAGTATTACAGCTAATTAATTCTGGACATCAAAACCAGACTAAAAGTTACCCCACCTGGACCCAAGGCCGGTTTTGTTTGGGCTTTCCCGGCCTGGCAGACTTTGTGTATCTTGTCAGAGAGATTCCGCGGGGAGCGAAATGGCGTCGGCGCAAAGTTGCGTACAATGCAGGTGGGAATCTGACCTCTGACCTGGGAAGGAGCCTGCAAAGTGTCGACAGTGAAAATGCAGCTGTGTTGCTTCACACTGATGGGACCGTGGGGAAACGGAAAATCTGTTTAGTGCACCTGCTATTTAAGGTCCCATCAGGGTAAACGCTGTTGATCCATGTTACACATGAGCGCGTCAGAAATCAGGAACCACATGATCCAGGAAAGCAGCTTTACCTGCTAGCAATTCAGAAAATATCAGCTTCTGAAAGATCTGTTCATTAATAAATTCCAGCCCTTATTAAAAAGCTCACAGTCAAGGTCACAAGTTTTTGAACAGAATTTAAGTTGGAATATTCACAAAATTTCAGCAGGAATAACCACCATTTAAACAGTTTTTTTTTTCCAGATTACATTTATATAGAAATTTGTTTGCAATAAGCATTCAGCATGGCCAATGCAAATGACATTAAAACTATTTTTGATCATTTTAGAGCCGTTAATCAGTGAAGACAGCCTAGTTTTCCCTTGTCATTCGAGCAAAGACAGTAGCCACTGTGGTTTATACTCCACCTGTCTGACTCTTCATTCTCCTGGGTTTATACATCATTCATGGTGTATGCTTCCCTACCCGGTTTTCATTATCATACGAATCAATCAACGCGATCATGACCAACAGCCAAGTAAAGGGGACGCGGTAATGATTAACGCACAGGGACACGCCATTAAATAAATTAATCGGTTGATAATCGGCAGTGTAGAGTAACAGCTGCATTTCTGGGTAAGAGTTCAAGGTTTCACCGGCTTTTCAGACATAAGGTTGTTCCCAGGTCGAGTAGGCCTACGACACAGGGCTGCTACTGGGAAAGAGCGCAAACATTACTCGTCAAAGCACCCGACCTTTACATACTTTTAATTAAAGACTTGATTAGCCACCCGTCCCTGTATTAACCCAAGGGAAGGAAAAGGATTGAGTTGCATTCAAAGACTGATCATGATTACATTTCCTCACACTTGGTTTAAATTAAGCGTTAATTATGCGACGCGATCAGCTTTCCTGTATTAAATCACACACAAGGTCAAGGGGAACCAATTCGTTCTGAGACCCGTATTAATTTTCAGTGTCCAAAAAAAATCCTTTTGTACCTGTCCAATGACAAGAGCGTATCGTGTAGTCTTACAGGTTATAATGAGAATTTTCACGTTGAGTTTAATAAACCTCACAAGGTCTCTCTGTACAGGAGCAAACAAGACTTCACTTTAGTTCTTATCTCACACCATATTGGAAAACCGGAGTCAATCACTAAACACGAATTTGGATTAGAAATCGAGGTGGGAGACGCAAAATGCTGACAAAGCGCCTATGCAGGTTGTGATTTCATGAGCTCCAGTTGCAATGATAATTCCCCATTATCCCAATTTGTTTACCATTTTCATGTTCATAAATTCACAAAATTATACCTTAAAAGGGACCCATCAAATTGCATTCACACCTGAATATCGAACGTCAATTAAGTGACTGCAAAATCCATACCTTAGTTCTCAGACCTCATCTCCATATTAAAGTTCTCCAAACCACTAACCAAACTCATTTACCACCGAGTGCACCTAAAGCGAGCCGTCGTGCTGATCAATCACTGCATGCCAATTCAACAGCCCGGCTGTAATTTCTACAGGCAAACCCACATAGCTATAGTTCGTGTTGTCTGAAGCATGCAGGTTAAAATCCGCTTAAAACGAAGCGTCGGCAGAGAGCTGTCAGAGCCTCTTACCTGGTAAAGTTGTGCGGCATAATCGTCACTTGCCCAAAGTGGTAAGAAAACTGCCCGATTGAACTTCTCACAGTGTCTTCCTGGGAAACAGATTTCTTGGTAATGTTTGGCTTCCACGCAGACTGTATGAATCGTAAATAGGGGTAAAAGATAATCCAAGCGCGTTCATGAGTTCAAAAAGTTTATGGTAAGCCATTGCAACCTCCACCGCAGATCTAATCTCTCGTTCGTCGGGCAATAGTCACTAAAGAGACCGACGCATCAGCCGCAGTTCATCGCTTTAAACATCACAAAACACGATTTGGGCTCAATCCGAGTACGTGGAAGCGGACGCCTGCGCGGACACCGTTTAATCGTTTGCTCATCAATTGCCGTCGGTGGTTTTCTTCATTTTTCCCCCCATTTCGTGGCATCACCTTAGAAAACGAGCCCAGACAGATATCCCCCCGTCTTCCCGAGGCAGGTGCGATGTTGTGCAGCTCTGCTGGGCTTTCTCCGGATTCCTCTCCTTGCTTTTTAGGCTTCTGCTTCCATGAAGACGTTGGACGTTTTGAGCAGCCGGTGCGTTTCCTCAGAATATCCGTATCCCGCACTTGCCGTGTGTTTACTCTTTAGGTGAGAGTCTTCACTGGTTATTCAACTGTAGTATAGTTATTCTTAGTTCAGCAGCTATTTTTTCCCCCTGCCCTGTATTCTTCAGTTGCGCGCTCTGGATTAGGCTACTGATATCAACCTGGGTGTGGAAGAAAAATATTGCATAACTGAACTTTTGAACTATAATCAAAATAAAAGAAAAATAAATAGATCATTGCATTCGGATATTAAGAAACTTGTTTATATATCTGAAAAGACATTGTCTTACAGACAGACTATAGAGCAATCTGCAGTTTGCCGTCTTCCCGGGTCGGTACCGTAATTCACTCGCAGCACAGACTGTCCGTTGTCCTCTTGCAGCGCTAACTTGCTTAACACGGGGTTGCCATCGCAGGTACGGGACCGATTACACCTTATTACTCAGTACATGTACTCCTCCTTCTTATATGTGTCTAGGTACTTAAATCCTGATAGCTGCGTCTTAATTCGACAAAAATGAAGCAAATATGTAGGTTGAGGCTTTTTACTGATTTAAACCAAACCAGACCTCTTTAGTCCAGATGCCTGTCACCATCCTGGGGGAATAGCTGCGTTTTATTTTAAACCTCGCACATTTCCTTATGGTTCAGTGTGTTCCCAGCCCTGTGAGTCCCTCACGCACCTGAGGGCCCCCGCACTTCCCAACAGGACCGCAAACCGCCTCCTCCTCGCCCTGATTCTGACCAACCCAAACTAATGCGTCCTGAACCCTTTTAGGTTTAGTAAATCCCAGCCATAAACGAATTAGTCGGCGGTTTTATAGCATCAAATGTAGTTAATCATTAAAGAAAGAAATGTGACAAAGTCGCTTAGAATCCGTCACAGTAGGTCTGATTATGTGTTTTAACGCCATCCACCAAAACCAGCTTCCTGTAGGACTTTGTGACAGCCTATATTTAAAACAAATGTAATAAAAACAGCAAATTCGAAAACTTGTTTAAATTTAGTTAATATTAATGCTGAGCTATAGTTCACACAGGCGTATACCGGGTTTTATGTTTCGCTGTCTTAAATTGACATTGGCGTAAAACCGCTTTTGTAATCCTTATGCTTAATTAAGATTACCGGTTATTTGTCTGCCTGGTAGTGCAGCTGGCTCACTCGTAACTTTGATTGTTTTGCAACAGCGTTTTGATTGTTTTCCGCAATTCTAAAAATACTTAAAGTCAGATCAAATGTTTTATAAGTGTGATAAACGTAACAGGGAAAACAGGAGAATGCTGCCGGTGCTTAATGGGGTGTTTCTCTGTGCGTGTGGCTGTTCTGCTCGGAGCTGACGGCACCTCGGGGAAGCTCGGCTTTATCGTCGGATCTGCAAGTCGGGACATCTTGCCCTGTTGTTCATTCCTTGTCTGCTCTGCATTGCTTCACAAAGCAGTCTACGGCTCCATATCACATTTTTAAAAAGACCCTTAAGGCATCTTCTGGTGTAGCAGTGCATTTTTCACTGCGCTCTTGAAAAGCTCACTTGGGTGACACCAAGGGAGTTAACAAGCGGAAGAAAACATCCGCGATAATACCGGCCGAGTTATCGTTTTATGTTTCCTCTCTCTTTTTCTTCTTCCAATTAAGGATCGAAAGAGAAAAACAGGCGCTACTCCCTTGACCCGGAGAGGAGGCAGACCACCGCGGAGGGAGAGCGTCACGCGGGGGCTCACACGCATACCTCACATAAGCCGCCCAGGTGCTACTCATCCTCAAGACCGCCTGAAATAGTCACTAGGAAAAAAAAGAGGACGAGTTGAAGGATTTCCGTTTTAGATCTCCCCCAAAACGGTGTGCATTTTCGTAAAAAAAGATTAAGTAGCACGTTACTTTAACTGCCATCATACAAGGAGGACTATAACATGGTGTATATTACGCGTTTGTGCATCAGCTTTCTGGAGTAAGTATTTTTAGGGGGGTTGTGCAGAAGATGGAATATTAAAAAAACATGTCCAAACCTCAAAGTTAGTCTGGTTTTGAAACGAAGACTAATTAATTCGTTTTGGAACAGATAACAGGAAACGGTTTCATTTGGTATATTGCAAATCTTTTGATATTATAGGATGAATGTACTGTATTGGGCTCATATTTAGTAAGAATAATGAAAATCAGAGTATTCCAATCAAACTTTGAAAAGTATAATTAAGGCGACCCATTGAACCACACTGGTTTCATTTCACCTGCTGCTGGATGTACAAAGTAGAACACCCAAAGACACACAGAATGAAAGAAAACGAATCGATAAATAAAATAGCATGAACGGCGAGGGGAGAGGAACTACTCAGTCGATGTTGGGGTTCGACGTGCGTGCCAAGCAGACCGTCCTCTGTGGTGTTTACTCAGTGTGTCCCACCTGCACGTGTCCCCGCTTTCAGGGTCACCACAACAATGCGGGACGTGCAGATGCAAGGACAGGAATGTCACCTCTCACCCCTGACTGCCCCTTGTTAAAAGCCAAAAAAAAGCATGTGGGTGTAATTGTGTAAAATGGCTGGGATTAGGGGGGTTAGACTAATGAAGCAAACTGGTGTATGGTTTGCACCCCCACCAGTGTCTGACTGTGAGCAGTGTGTGATCACGAAGTGGCTCTGGTGACCATATCCTGTTTTGCCTCTGTGCCACAGTATAAGGGGGGGCGGGCGGTGGAGAGAGTTGGCTTCAAAGAGCGATACTGGCGGGTCTTTGAAGGCTGAGACTCTGGACACATGCCAGGGTGAGCGGGAATGCCTGACACGCTGCTCTGGAACGATGTCGAGAAACCGTGTGTTTATCAGGCGGCGACGGGAAGCAAATACGAGATGTCTGCGACAGGCCGCATGGGATTGTGAGAGCCCACAAAGGGGCGTGCTGGGAGGATACATCAGCAGAAGTGGCATGACAGCCACCGTGGTGAGGAAGATGAGTGTGTGATTCCTCACCACACAGGTCAGCTCCAGGTATGCATGCTGATAGACGCCCCCTGGTGGTGCTATGCATGTGGCACTAAATGCGCCCCCAACAAAGGAAAATCTCACCAGTGTGTCACAGACACGGAGAACATATGAATGGGAGTCAGTTTCCTGGATTAGAGTGGGATTTGGCACCACCTGATCTTTGTTTGTCAACAAGGAGCCTGATCTCAGAGACAGGTGAGCGAACAGCTGTCATGCCTTGAGGTCAACAGTGAGAGTTTGGTATTCTGGGATGCTTATGGGGGGGGGTCACAGGCCAGGACACACCCACCACTGAGGGTCACTGTGCCAGCAAGGAGCAAATAAAACCCCATAAATGAGGCACATGCTAACAGCAGACAAAAGGCTTTAGAACCTGTAGATGTTCTATCTCCAATATTAGGATCCTAAAATGAGAACCTGTATATGTTCTATCTTCAATATCAGGATCTTAAAACAAGCATTGTTTTGTTAGAATTCATGTTTCTCTTGCTATTTCTTAATAAGTAATGATACAAGCATAATTTGTTTTAAACTTACAAAAGAAAACCTCTCACTGTTGCTGTACCTGTGACAGATGGGATTAAGTCAGATACATACCTCGCCCCCCCCTTGGGATCCAATAAGAATTAATCTGTGTGTGTCCACCCGTCTAATCTATCGAATTGTCTCCAAGCCTCTGCCATCCTGGAAGGTGTCCCACTGGCTTCTGGGGGTCCTGGTGCCCGCACATATGTGCGGGAGGCTCGTGGGGGGGGTGAGTGGGGGGGTTCGTGAGCCGCTGTGGGTCATTCAGACCGTGCTCTTAGCTGTAGACTGCAGGCCTTTTGGTAAAAGACAAACAGCAATAATTTACTAAGAGCAGATGGGAGGGAAGTTATGAAACGGTAAAAGCACTGAAGGGTCTCGGAGGATCTCTGTGGGGGGGCACTTTAAAGATGAGGATTTATGTCTAATGGAGGGGG